ATTTGAGTTTTGTGGCACATGGTAGAAACGATTTGACGTATATGCCATGACATTCCATACGTTGACACTTGGTTAAGGGATTATGATTAAGTCACAAATATCCGAACATGAACATAGTTAGCTGTGAGTAAAAAAAAAAAACAAGCATCAACAGGGACTGGTATTCCTTACAAAGGGTACCTGCCAAGTTTCATTCGATTCTGTTCCCTAATGAGGGTAGGGAGGTAGAATTGAAAGTAGACTGACAACCCCAAGAACGAGACGACGATCAAAATACATATTTAAGCCAGGCCAAGGAAATTACTGGTGACAGATTAAATGTCATTCGTTGTGAGGGTTTGCGTATTGGCCCTGAGTATGCTAACCGGCAATAATGGTTCCCATCGCCCGTGTTGCAATTTTCCTAAATTCATTTAGATAAATAAATAAAACTAAGACAAATTAGTTGATTCTGAATATTATGGAAATATTAATCCGTCTGTAAAATCTATTCTGGAAGTCATCCGTGGAAATCATGATTGAGCTTGTATGGGGCCCTTGCATCATCAATGAAAAACGGGCATTGTAGTATCTCTGGAGTTAGTTGGAACAAGGGAAGGGCAGCAGAAAAAGGGGGCACAACATTCGATGGTACATTTTCAGAAGAGAGGGCACATAGCCACCCCCGCTCACTCCCATATACCTTGTTAGGAAATCTCATCGGATTCCAGCGTTATCAGCCATTTCGAGTTTCTTTTGTTTTTGCATTTATGAGGGCAGGGTAGACGGTTGCCTACCTGCCCAGCATGCCTCTGGAATTAGATTTTTTGCTTAGGTTACACAGAGTGAAGAACAATTTCTGTGCTAGATGTTTTATAAATAGGTTAGATGTGCAAGTAATTAATAAGTCATCTATTTAGGGACACCACCCTCAATGCTGATTTATTAAATACAACTAGATTAATGTCAAGTCGTCATTTGTCCTGTCTTGGCTTGTCCAAAAAATAGGCATTGCGAGTTCTACTGTTTACTGTTGTAACAGCGGTCACCGATTATATATGTTGTAATGGACCGTATGCTAGTCTTTCCTACAGACCATGTAAAAGACAACGGTCCACAAAAATGAATTTTGGCACCGCGGACCTTTTAGACCTTGATACAGACTCCTCCACTTCATTAACCTTAAAACATTGACCAATAACTATGGGTTGTTCATTATTAAATGGTTCACTGCATATCTGACAAACAGACGATACTGTATCCATCTGTGTCTCAACATCTGAATCATTTTGTGCCACGTGCTTCAAAAGGCACGACCAGCTTCCGCAGTGACCTGAGAGTGACCCCAGTCGACATACCCCTATGCCGCTACTGCAGTGAACTGGGAGACACTCCAAATGAAATTTAGTTGATACTGGATGAAAGTCATTGTATTAGGTAGGAGTATCATTAATCTCCAATCCCTAATCGGAAATCTAAATCCCAAATAGGAATTTCTCCTATATTGACACAGAGAATCATTTAATCACTAATATATGTACAAAAATAGATTCAGCTACCTCGAAAACATATATTTTGACACCAAACTTGATCCTTATGTAAAATTCGAATTTTCCCGCCAAAACTGACCACCATTTTGAATTACCCCTAATATTGACTAAGCGGTAACACTTATCACAAAAATGTGTATGGAAATGGATTCAGTTACCCCGAAAACGTATATTTTGATACCAAACTCGATCATATTGTGATAATTGGATGGAAATTGGAATTTACAAGCCAAAAGAGGTGGCTATTTTGGATTTTGGCCAATTTGACCCATTTGGGCATGGATTTCGGACTGGGACTTTTTATAGGTCATAATATACGTCTAAACCGACCATAAACCGTGATCGGCATTTCTATTGCAGCAACTGCCCGCACTTTTGCTATCTTGCCTGGACTATAAAGCTCGGTTAATTTATCTGTAAGATACTGTGGAGACTTGTTATATATAATTTTGTGGAAAAGAGACACTCTTTTTATCCTGCAACGTTCTGATAATTTAACTAAGCCAGTTTCATAATAAAATGAGTCTTTACTTGAGTATTTCGGGAGTCCTGTAATAATTCTAGCTGCCTCGAGTTGAATTTTTTCAAGTTAATCGCAATCAGATACATTACAACAATCCCACAATTCACAAGCGTATTCAAGTACGGATCTTATGAAAGATTTGTAAATAATTTCTAATGTTTTTCGCTTAAAAGTATACTTAAATTTTCTTAATATATTTAAACGTTTAGAGGCAGCTTTACAAATATTATCGACATGTTCGGACCATTTACAGCCATTTGATATAGCAACGCCAAGGTGTTTGTGGTTAATTACAACATTTAATGATTCATTACCAAAATATAAAGTTGGGACGTTCTCAGAGGTTTTGCTGAAATCCAATACTTTTGTTTTAGAAGGATTCAATTTTATCAGCCAATCCTTGGACCACAACTTTTGTTTAAATAAGTCAGCGTTTAATGAAGCTTCTATTTCATATACACGAGATTTAGTGCAACCAATGGTGGTGTCATCGGCAAATAATCTGGCTGTATTTTCCAAAGAATCTTAAATATCGTTTATGTATACAAGAAATAAAAATGGACCCAATACAGAGCCCTGGGGAACTCCAGAATTAAGCAGTAGGGTCGAGGAGTAAGCGGTATTTACAAAAATAGTTTGATTCCTATCGCTTATATAACTGCTAAGCCAATGGAGAAATGTACCATCTAATCCGTAACAAGAAAGTTGTTTTAGTAAGCCAGTGTGATTCACTCTATCAAATGCCTTAGAGATGTCACAAAAGATGAAACATGAACTTTCGCCGTTTTCTAATGCCTGCAATATGCTATCGTATAATTCAATAAGTTGGTGTACAGTAGAAAATTTAGGTCTAAAGCCAGATTGATAGGAATTTAGTAAATTATTAAGATGAAAATAATTGTTGATGTCTTTAAAAACTAATTTTTCAAGTAATTTACTAATAGCACTTAACAACGATATGGGTCGATAATTAGTAACATCGGATTTGTCGAGTGATTTCTGGCACTCAAAGAAAAACTTATTAGGGCAAAATGTTATACCCAGTTTAATATCAAATACAGATGGTAAAGTTGCATACACTGAGTGCGAAAAGGCCGAATTACTAAATTTGTATTTTATATCTGTATCCAATAATGAATCACTAAGCAACTCATTAGAATTTCGTTCCAAAACAAACACTAGATTTATAATGCCCGAGATACAAAATTCTGAAATAACTGACTTAATTTCAGATCTAAATATCAGAAAAGCAAACGGTCCTGATAGAATAAGTAATCTCCTCTTAATGCATCTAGCAAAAAGTATTTCTATCCCCTTATGTGCACTATTTAATAAATTTTTACGAGAGGGAATATTCCCAAAGATATGGAAACAAGCTAATGTTATGCCACTATTCATGTGCGGTAGTGTGGTAAACACAACACAAAGTGAGTTTCAAAACACAAAGTGGTCTAGCATAATACCTATAGTCTGAGGGTTGTGTACCTTTTTAAAACACAGATTGAGATAATATTTAATTGAATAAATTTAATAACAAACTAAAATTTTGTAACAAGTGGATTCTTGGTTAACTTTTTAAGATATGAAATAACCATATTTCGATATAAATTTTTCATATTCTTGTGTTACAATACAATGGAAATGTTTCAGTTAGACGATACAGTGTAACTTATTCCAGGGTATGCTGGTCCCTACATGTGTATTATCAACATCTTTAGTTCGTAACGAGGAACAAACAACGAGAATTGACTTCTGATGTTCGGTAGAATTTTATTTAGATGTTATTAACGTAATTTTTTGAATATTTTTTTGTGTGTTAAAATGGTAAGCGCATGATTTTCGTGGTCCTCAACCTAAACGCGCGGGCGAGAAGAAACAAGGAATCAATTCAACACGGCCTAAGCAGAAAATGTTCATTTTCGAACTCCATCAAAGCATTGGCCTAATAAATACCTGCACCAAGTTTGAACATTCTACCTCAATTAGAAGGAGAGTTATTGAGTTCCAAAGTCTCAGCCAATCAAATTGCTTATCGCTGTGCTTACCCTGAGCAGAGAATGCTCATTATCGAACTTATATAGTCAAGGTAGTGATGTAATGAAACTATACACCAAATTTCATCACTCTCACTTAATTAGAACTTTTATCGTGTCCCAAAGCATCAACCAATCAAATTGCTTATCTCTGCTTACCCTAAGCAGAAAATGCTCATCTTTGAAGTCCATCAAGGCATTGACTTAATAACCACCTACACCAAGTTTGAACATTCTAGCTCAATTAGAAGGAGAGTTATTGTGTCCCAAAAAGTGTGACGGACAGACAGACAGACAGACAAACCCATTTTAATAGTCCCCTGCTTTCTTCGAAAGGCGGAGGACAAAAATATTTTTCCAATTTGCCAGGTTGGTATCGACTGAATCAACCTAATATTTTCTTGGGATGTATCTGGGTAATAACTAACTTCACACAAAAAAAATTTGGTCCAAATTCCCAACTCAAGGGTTATCACCCTCTGCATGGTGCCCTCGCGAACACGCTCTTAACACAAAACCACTTAACATGCAACAAATTAACCCATTTTAACAGTCCCCTGTTTTCTTCGAAAAGCGGGGGACAATAATTCAGCAATGTCGGGAAGTGGCACCGCTGAAACCCTTCATCCCCGCATCGCAGTTCTAGGTTTTTTTTGGTGTTACAGTATCTCAACTTTTTACGAAAAGCTGAATATAAATTTATTTACTAATGAAGGCAAAGATCTTGTGGTTCCATGGAGTAAAATTTCAGTCATTTCTTTCTCATTTCTATATTTCTAGTCGTAAGTCCAGTGCCCTGACCACCGCGCCATGAAAGGAGTTCCATTGTCGATGAAAGTCACTAAACCTTATATTACACAAGTGGTTCCTTCAAACGTTATATAAAGGAAATATTTTGATTTGAATGACTTATACCTGTTGATATATATGACCTTTCTGTAAACTTTGTACGGAAGCCCACGACTGTTTATTACTAGCAACATCAAACTGCCGAAATGGTCTGAAAAAGAAAAAAATGCCACAATGGTTGTATAAAATTGAGGAAATGGTCTATCAGTACCACTGGACACTTCTAAATATTTATACTCATACCACATCTGTTATTAAGATTGTGACTTCTCTCATATTTAGACTAAAATATGGTACTTGTTGCATGCACTTGGTAATGCTTGTTCTTTGGACAATTGAGCATTGATTCCTGGTTCATTTAGTATGCTCATACTTGTTAATCTAACCAATGGTACAAGGGCTGGCTGAAAATTTAAGCCTATCTGTGAAAGACCTGTACAAAGTTGATGGCTTCCATTTATTTTTCTACATAGTCCCCTTCGAGGTGTAAACACTTTTGCCAACGATGTTGCAAGAAGGCCTTGACGTCAGGAATCTTGATATATTTCTGATCTGCAGTCATGACCTTTGGCACCCATCTTGCAGAGACTTTTGTCATTCCTTACTCGCTGGTGATAATGTGCTCAACCCCCTCATGAGTGATACCCACAATACTAGCAATATGTGTCGAGTGGTCAATCGTCGATCAGCCATCACCATGTCATGTATGGAAGGGTATCGCTGCCAATATTAAAAGCTTTGCGACAATGTCGTTTCCATTGATTATATGTAAAAAGTACAATGTACAAAGTCATAATACCAGTAATGATAAAGTCAAAATACCTCTAAGGCAAGAGTTAAATGTAAAACGTCCAATGTTAAGTGTTAAATGACAAATGTTTTGTGGGAAAATGCTTTTTTTTGACGTGTCTACATTTTACATTTCTCTCATTACATTTTACATTTGCGCTCTGCCACATCCTATTTGTCCTTCACGCTTTCTACATAGCAACTTTCGCACAGCATCAACTTGCATATGCAAATGTAGGATATCACGTGACTTATTAACATAGTCATGCACCTGGTAATATTTTCTTGAATGGTTGCTGTTGATTGCTTTCCAGGACCCAGGTAATCGTCAAGGCTCTCTCTGCCACGCTTAAATTAAGCAGCCCACTTCTTTACTGTCGAAAAGGAAGGGGCATCATCCCCTAAATTGGAGACCATGTCGGCATGTATCTGTGTTGGGGTTAGTCCTTTCAGTTGCAGGTACTTGATGACTGTCCTATAACCAGTTTTGTCCATTTCTGGTTATTTCAATGGGTAGGTTCACAAGATGGTCTGGTAATTGGGTCAATTCATGCAAGTCCCGGTTTATGCTTGTGTTAAGGTTGTGTTGTAGTGGTGTATCTGGTGTTCTTTTTAGTGCCTTAACCTGAGCCTCTCGATTTAGCACTAGTGTTTACACCAGTGTCTAAACTAGTTTAATACCAGTGTTAACACTGGTGGAAAATATAAAAAAAACCTATAACATTAGTGTTATTTTTAAATGTTACACTTATGCATTGGGTCAATTCAAGTCCCAGGTTACGCTTGTGTTATGGTTGTGTTGTAGTGGTGTATAACTGGTGTTCTTTTTAGTGCCTTAACTTGAGTCCCTCGATTTAGCACTAGTGTTTACACCAGTGTCTAAACTAGGGTAATACCAGTGTTAACACTGGTGGAAAATAAAAAAAACACCTAACACTAGTGTTATCTTTAAATGTTGCACAGTGTTTTTGTCTTCTGTTATTTGCATGAGCTAGCCAATTAAAAAAAAAACAGCGGTTGCCAGGCAAGATACACCCACCTTTTAACATGGATAGTTAAAAACAAAAGCCATTTTTCGTTCAATCAGGGGTCATAATCCAGAAAGTTATGGTCTGAAATGCAAAAATATCGACAGGGCCTGAGAACTTTAGGACATAAACATACATTTAAGTTTCATTAAAATCGGATAAAGATTGTGACCTCTAGAGCGTCCACAACCTTCGTATTACACAATTTGCGTACAAAGAGCGGACATTTTGTCGGGCATTTTTGGTCCGATGTTCATGAAATTGGAACACAACCGTCATGTAATGGTGATCAATTTATATATTGATTTTTTTTAAAATTTGGGTACAACTTGTGACATCTAGAGAGTCCACAAGCTAAAAATATATTTTTTCGTACAATCAGGAGCCATATTCTAGGAAGTTATGGTCCGATATATGCCAATATCGAAAGGATAAATTCCAAGTTTCGTCAAAATCGGATAAATATTATGACCTGTGGAGTGTCCACAAACAAATTGTGGACGGGCGGACGGACGACCAGGGGCGACGGCATAATACGTCCACATGAAAATGTGGGTGTAAAAAAAAGCAAAAGAAAGGTAATTGTGAAAAACTATTGAATTTTTGTAGTCTAATTTGATCATTATTCAGCAGGCTTGCGATCAACATTTCTTTGTCTTACGTTTTGGCCATATATGAGCAAAAAAATCATTTTAAGCCTTTAAACTAAATCTAAATGTCTTAAAAGAAATTCCCTTATTGTCGTCTGTTGTTTCACACCAGTGATGAAATAAATGACTTGAACTAAGATTTATTTGATCATTATTCAGCAGGCTTGCGATCAACATTTCTTTGTCTTACGTTTTGGCCATATATGAGCAAAAAAATCATTTTAAGCCTTTAAACTAAATCTAAAAGTCTTAAAAGAAATTCCCTTATTGTCGTCTGTTGTTTCACACCAGTGGTGAAATAAATGACTTGAACTAAGATTTATTTTAACACCTAGGGGTTAGTGTTACAGTTATTTTTAACAAGATAATAACTTTTATGAAGTTATTATTATCTAACAATTTTTTATTTAATTAGAAATAATTTTACACAAAGATCCTTGTCTATATATTTTTTTCATGTAAACTTGTTTTTTAAATCGGTAAATTGATACTGAAAATATAGACAAATTGAGGGGTTCAGGTATAAGTTAGTGTTTGGGTAACACAGATACGACACTGGTGTTGATGTTGTGTGAATATATCCTTGTTTAACACAACCTCAACACCACAGACCTTAACTCGGACTGATTTCAAATACAGAGGGGGTCTGAGGTTGAGTTAGCACAGCGTTACACCAGTGGTACACTGATCTAACTGGTGTTAGACACTACACCACCTTAACCCAGGACTTGAATTGACCCATTGAATTCTTTGCATGAGCTGGCCAACTAAAAAAAAAAACGCCAAAAAGAAAGGTAATTTGAGAAAAACAACCGCTCTCTCGTAAATTAGCACATCTGCGATCAACATTTATTTGTCTTACGTTTTGGCCATATATGGATAAAAAAAAATCATTTTTAGCCTTAAAACTAAATCTAAAAACCTTAAATTAAATTCCCTTCTTGCCGTCTGCTGTTTTACATCAGTGTTGTAATAAATGACTTGAACTGATATTTTTTTTTTAACTCCTAGGGGTTAGTGTTAGAGTTATTTTTAACAAGATAATAACTTTTATCAAGTTATTATTATCTAATCAAGTGTTTATGTAATTAGAAATAATATTGCACAAAGCTCCTTGTCTTTGTATTTTTTTCATGTAAATTTGTTTCTTAAATCGGAAAATTGATATTGAAAATTTAGACAAACTGAGGGGCTCAGGTATAAGTTAGTGTTTGGGTAACACAGATACGACACTTGTGTTCATGTTGTGTAAATATATCCATATTTAAACACAACCTCTACACCACAGACCTTAACTCGGACTGATTTCAAATACAGAGTGGGTCTGAGGTTGAGTTAGCACAGTGTTACACCAGTGCTAACTGGTGTTAGACACTACACCACTTCTTCGTGGCAAGAGTTTGTTTCAACCCTTTTGATCTATCTTTTTCAGGTTTAGAACTTTTCAGCCTGCCATCGTAATGTTCAGTTCAATGGTTACATACATGTACATTGCAAGGAGCAGAATTTTGCCTGGAACAGCAGTGTTCCCGTCTACTCTTATCTGAATTTTAACTGCCTAGGGTTCTTTTATGCTGGCCATTTGTGAAAACAGGCCAAGACACTGGAATATTCTGATTTTTGTACACAGCCTAAAAAACTTGTTATCAGCACACAAATCAAGTAAAAATTTGTTCCTGTGAAAAACGCCAAAATATTTGAATTTGTGTCACTCAGAACACACAATCATTTAAATGCAATAGACACAAATAATAAGTTAATGTGTGAACAAAGTTTCAGATATGCTTAACACTGCAATATGCATAGTGTGTAGAACTGGTGTCAGAGCTTTTAATAACGGGCTTCTGCATTAGAATATCCATCAAGCAAATAGAAAAGCTTAATTGTGGTTACTATTCGTGAGAAATATACATGTTGTCAGTAGTCGCTTAAACCCGTCAGTAATTGCACTGTACATCAGTATTCCTATAAATGGTCAGTAATAATCATAAGGTGAGTATTTTAGTCAGTTGGTTAGTATTCCTTACTTGTGTCAGTATACAAAAATAACGTGACTAATTATACAAACGTGAGTTTATCCGAACATATCACTAGTCAGACGCGTGCAGGAGAAATTGGAAAAAAAGTGACTAATTAAGAAACCGTCAGTATTTGGCTACCGCTCACTACCTGAGTGAAACCGCCAGTTATCTTTGATGTGCGTCAATAAGTGGAACCGACGCCAATAGAGTATGATATCGTTAACTATATAAATTTCTGGTGAGTATTGTTACTATAGGTGATTATAAGTATCCTGAATAAATGAATTATTATTTATTAATATTCTCGAATCGGAGGAAAGTTTTTAACCAATAATGGATGACAGTGAACAAAGGGACTATTTATCGGCGTTTTGATTACCGCCGTAGTTTACAAAAGACATCAAAGATGGTTAGATAGATCGATCTATTATAAATATCTTCATATTTAAATATGAATTTAAATGCTGCGTGGCAAGGTTTGATTTGTCACATTATTTGTACACGTTCCCGTTCTTACAAAGGGTTCCCCATGCAGAATACGGCGCAATGTGTATTGTTATTTAATTTACAATTTATATTTATTCTCGTTACATGAGGATTGGCACATGTTTTGGGGCAGGCAGCACTTTCATATCTGTATGGATTAAATTTGGAATGACAACT